CAGACACATTACACAAAATCTGACATTGTCTTTAAAGCGAATCATAATAGTGATCTGGCTTCTAATTGTGTACCAAAGGGTCACCATAGTCCTCATCTGTCTTTGAATGGAACTTCAGGTTATAGCATGAATGGTTTCATGAGCACTGCGCGCGAGCACACACACACACACACACACACACACACACACACACACACACACAAAATCAGGCTGCATCATGAAAAACACAAAAGTTTCTTTTCTTGCCAGTGTGCCCTTCCTTGACCAGTGCTCTAATTCAATTAGCTCTCATTTCCTCAGCCAAACTCACGATTCTAAAAAACTCTTCTGGGGGAACGGCCAAAATTATGCATCACACTATGCCCTATTCTGCTAATTCTGTAATAGATACCCACACATGTTTGCCCTTTAAAAGTGGGATATAGGGAAGACAGTCCCAAGAGTGTGGGAATTCATGGCACCCCTTTAGCTATCGAAGAAAACAAGAAGTTTATTAACCACAGATTTGTAATTCTGGTGAAGATAGACAAAATGAATGGCCTTGTCCCTAAGAAAGAATCCATATACCCAAAAGTCTAGCTCATTTCATTTCAGGACAGCTTCTTCAAATGTCCCAGTTAACACATCTGGGCTTGGATGGGACTGCCCCTGAGTTGCCATGTGTGTGTGTGTGGTCATGCTCATGCCACAGCATACTTGTGGAGGTCAGATGTCACTGATGGAAGTTGGTTCTCTTCTTCCATCTTTTCAGTCCCAGGGATCAAACTCAGGGTTTCAGGCTTGATGGCAAGTGACTTTACCCACTGAGCCATCTCACCGACCCTTGAGGTTTGGGGCTTTTGTCTGTTTACTATTTGGGTTGTTTGTTGCTTAATAGATATTTCATGGATTTGGTTTTTAGTCTGGGGTTTTGAGACAGAGTCTCATGATATAGTCAAGACTGTCCTGGAACTCATTATGTATCCCAGGCTGGCCTCTAACTCAGAAATCCTCTTGCTGCAGTCTTAAGGGCACTGAAATCACAGATAAAATCCAGCCACAACAGCCAGCGTGTTCTTATCATTTCATCTCCTGTACCACATTGTATCATGCAGTTATTACTCAATTCATATTAAGAATGAATTAAATATGACATATTGTGCTAGATTTTTACCTTTTAAGTGTTTCTTGTTGTATTAGAATTCTTCCTGTGATATTAAGTCAATGTGACAGGAAATTTTAAATCAGCAGGATTGATCAGTATAGTTGGAAGGACCACCTTTATCTGGATAGAAACCAGGAGTAACAGATGAACACAGGAAAGTCCTGGAGGTAGTGGTGGTCAGAGGCCATCACTGGGGCCCTCTTCATCTCCAGGAATCCACAGTCCTCCACAGGTTGATGAAACCCTGTGAGTCTCCAGCTCAGTCAGGAAGAGATGCGACCGACCCCTATTCCCAACAGACAAGGTACCTTTGCCACCCAAGACACAAGAGAACATGCAGTAACCTCTTCGGTAACTTCTGCTCAATCCTCACATTTCACATTTGACCTTACCATCCAGAGGCCTCTAAGTCTGGATCATGTGCACTTCACAGTTCTCAGTCCTGAATCTTCCTCATCCCAGGATTCAGAACAAACGCCACACCGTCATCTCTTGAGTCTCTGTGGGCGCCATCAAGGATTGTGTCTTATCACCGGTGCCACTCCACAGACAGACAGATAGGAGTGAGGGGGAAAATGGAGAGAAGAAAACTGGAGGGAGAAAGAGTTTGTCCGCTGGAGAGTACAGGAACATTTGGAGTCTGGCTTGCCTCTGAGAGGGCAACATGCCACAGGTCTTGCAGACTAGGAAAAGCCCCTAGTGGTAAGCAGTAGAAATCACACAGAGCTGTAGTTACAGCCCTGTGCATAATGCCTGGGCTAGAAGCCAGAGGCAGTGGCCAGGTGGAGCCCACAGAATGTTTTGCAACATCCCAGAAAAATGGTTAGGAAAAAGCCTGCAGAAATGCTAAAAAAAATAGGTCTCTCCAACTTAAGCCGTGAGCATTGTCAATAAAGCTGCCCTTCCACGTGTGAGGAGGGAAAACCGGCCCTTGAGTTCTAGATCCACTCATTATTCAACCTGTCATCTTAACTCCTCAACCTTTGCTGACCAGATTTCCTGCCTAGGTTCACATATACCAATGGGAACCAACCATAACCACAAACATAATTTAAAGGATTTCAGGAGAGTACAGGGACAAAGGCCAACTCCAGCCACAATTTGCCACTGGCTTTTCAGATATCCCATAAACCTATACGTATTCCTAATTTCAATTTTAATAATTTTTGCACCGCAAGCTGAGATATAGCTGGAGAACAAAGGGAATTCTTAGAATGCCCTTACTATTAACCAAAATAGCCAGGAAGGCTCAGCAGCACTTGTCTGACCTGAGACCGGCGCAGCTGTCTCAAGACCTGCCAGCCAGGACGGTAACTTGTTAGGGTGCTCATTGCCTTTCTCGCTGAAGAAAAAAATATGGCAGAATCTAGTTTCTGTTCCTGTTGCTTCTTTTCTCGTGAAGATTAGGTTGCATCATCAAACATTCTCCTAAAGATGTAGGGGCAAACACAGAAGTACACTAGAAGGTGTGCTGCTTTGTTTCAAGAGGGGATGAAGAAATCAGTTTTGAGGTTCTGCTCTCTTTACCCAAACTTTCCATGATCGGGGTCCATTCTACAAGCCTGAATCACTGGATTTTGGGTTGTGTCCTGAAGAAGGCAGAGACAGTATGTTGCTGTAATTCTTCCCCATTCCATTTTTAGGAATCAATTACCAGCCTCTGCAGGTATGTAGACTGCACAGGCACACACACACACACACACACACACACACGCTGGAGGGACCTTGGTGGCTCATACATCTTCTGAATTCAGCTGGCAGTTTGCCCCCCCACCCTCCACCACTTCATTGCTTTTCTGTGCATGTGACCACAGACAGTGCATCTAAATTTGGCACATTTCAAGGTCAAGTGATGCAGCATACAGAATCTGACCTCGAACAATCACCATTGTCCATTCATCTGTTCACAAAAACGTGCAAGCATGCTGCCTGTGCTCACTCCAGGTTCATAACTCTCCATCCCAGGAGACTCCTGGCTGCTTCATCAAATGCTCAGAGGGAGTGGGGGTGGGGGAGTGAATGTGTCTGCTCCTCCCTCATCCTCCACATTCCCCCAGCCCCTCAGTTCACTTTCACTGCATAGGCAGACTACAAAGGCAAAGAAACTGTTTTTAGATTTTCACTGGTTCTCATAGGCAAAGAATCTGAAGCATCTCCAAAATGGACATCAAGTCAAAACTGTCAGTTTTCCAAAGTCTGTAATTATATATTTACACAGAGTACATAATCCTGTATGTATTTACATACAATTACAGATTATCAAGTAAATAACACAATATTGTAGTGTTAATGAGATGAAATAGTGAAAACACCACCAACAGAAACCATTCTTTTATCTACAAAACAGGACCTGGCAGGGCAGGTTCCCCAATGCTGACCTGGCATGTCCTTCAATACTGCTTGGGGACATTTGCATGACAGATGGGAAGGTGGTTCAGTCCACCCTGGCTAAGTCTTTGACCATGATGCCAGTGTTGGCACCAACAGGAGAGTGCTTTGGCTATCTGAGCATCTGTTTGTGGGCTGGAATCACCCAGCCCACAGTGGCTTGGGGCTGCCATCCAACAGGCTTTGCATCTCTTCTAGCAGGGACCGAACTGGACACAACCCCAAGACTGGGCCTGATCTGCCTGCTTCCCAGGGTGGTACTCATACAGAAACCCTGAGCCATCTTCTCTCCCAAAATGCCTATTTACATAAATTGCATACATCAATATTTGTTTATTTACAGACCATTACAGTTTATTGTACCAGTTACCAAAAGCACACAACATTTTGCGTTAAAAAAAAAGAAGTACCAAAACAAAGTCCAAAAATAGACATTAAAGTAGCATTAGCTGAGAATGCATGAAAATTTTTAATTTTTGCACAATTATTTTTCTTTCTTCTGGGTTGATTTTTCTGGAACACCTGCTACTTTGTGACTATTATTGGTTGCCTTTTAAAATCCGATCTCTTCAGATATTATTGCTATGACATCCTACAAAGCTAATTCTTTCCTGTGGTCAAATGTTGAATCCTTTTCAGTAAAAACAAGATAATTGCTTTTGGGAAAATGGAAGTCTGAATATGTATACAACTTAGCAGCGAGGAGTTAAATAACAAATAAGAACACTGCTCAAAATTCAACACAGCGCCTGTTTAGAACGCGAAAGGGGGGGCCAAAGAACAGACGTAAGGAGGGTATTCTGATCTTTATTCTACCAACCACTTCTGAGCTTCAAAGAACAGACGTAAGGAGGGTATTCTGATCTTTATTCCACCAACCACTTCTGAGCTTCAGGTTCCCCTCTGTAAGACAGCTTTCAATTCCAAACAGGATCCTTCAGCTCCTCCCTAATGCTCATCAGCAGGAGACATCACCACGTGTTCCAGCTTGGACCCCAGTGGGCTACTGGATCTGCTCGCAACAGGAAGTCAGACACTTCAAGTTCACAACAGCTTTAGCTCGCCAGTGACATGCTTTCATTTCCCATCGAGAATGTGCATCCGAGCAAAACAAAGCCAGAATATTGCATCTTGAGATGAGCTGCATAAATTCGAACACATTTTTAAACTATCACTTTCCATTTCCCAACATTAGCTGGCTAGAAAGTGAGAATGTGTTAGAGATTCCTTTCTCTTAAGTATTGCTTTAAGAATTTGGCTCATTTCACGTTAGTATCGAGCGAGAAATGGTCTCCCTTGCCCAACAGCAAGCTCTAGAATTGTAGGTGTATGTATTCTTCAGCTTTTCCATATAGAATGTTATAAAAGATTCTGTAAACGGTGTTTTACACAGTAACCTTCTCTCTGAGAACTTCTGAAGACCGATTCAGAAAAGAAAGCACAGGCAATGAGTACAGTACCCCTCTAATGTCATTACTGATAAAGATTTATTGGTTCCATGTTGCAAGTTTTACTTAAAGGGTACTAGCCCCGTGTAATTATGACAGTTCACACCAAAAGCAATCTCCATAAAAGATGTTATAATGAGCCCTAGGGTCCTTGTATAATTCCATATTTGATAGCCAAGACACAAATAAAAATTTTACAAGAATGATTCTGTTCATCTGCTGTTTCCCTCAAAAAAATGAGAGGAGGAGAAGAAAGAAGAAAAAAGAAAAGAGGAAAAAGGAGGAGGAGGAAGAGGAGGAGGAGGAGATCTGTACTACATAAATGTTTTTCTTCCCCTCTCCCTTGGTAATTTTAAATCAGTGTCATGTTTGATGTTAGTCTTGTTGTCATGGAAGTGGTCTGAAATGAAAAGGCATAGTTATTGCTTAGCTTTGGTACACTCTGCAATAGATTAAAACAAATAAGACATACACCAACCCTCATTCGTTCCAACCGCCCAGCTACACTGAGTTACGAGAGAGGAAAATTACAGACACCGAGTGAAGGGCTGAGACCCAGTTTATCTTTAATCCTCTGGGGTTAGCTATGAAACAAGCAGTCTGGAGAGCGAATACTCAGTGTCGTGAGCGATGTGCAGACGTTTACAATAACATGGGCACAAAATAGATTGTCGCCTTTAGTACATTAGGGCCATTAGAATCTCTTGCACGCCTACTTGCATGAAGTTACCACAGGTTCATAGCAGACTTTGCCATGTAATGCCTACAGAGCCTAAAGCTTCCAAAATGCCTATCTGGCCTGTACATATTTCATTAAAAATAAACTCTATATAATAAATAAATATATAAAATAAATAAAATGTTGCCTTTGGAATTTCTATAAATAAATTTAACCTTTTTTCTTTTTTTTCTTTTTTCTTCTTCCTTGTTTTCCTTTTAAACTAAGAGGTCTTTGCTTTAAGTTCACTGGGCTATGATACCAGTGAGAATGAACTGAGTCTTTTAAGTGAGACTGCACCCTCCACGCCTGTGGAAAGGCAGGGTTCCCTTGAGCAGGCCACCAGCCAAAAATCCTGATGAGTTGAAGTATGGCAGCTGTGCTGATATAGGATGAAGTTCAACGGATCAAAAATGTAAAAGCGTGTCTATTTCCCAGCATGCATCAGGCCGTTGTCCTCTTGGCGCGCTGCTGTCCCCTCTACTCACTCACTCATGCACTCGCACCCCTCACGCAGCCTCTCCCCTGCTTTCACAATAAATCAAGCAAGTGGCCCCAGGCAGCCCTCCAGAAGGAGCAGCCAGTAAGTGCAGAGCGAATCAGCAAGTCCCCATCCAAGCCTCCATCATACGTGTGCATGCGACAAAGTTTGGCGACGGTGGCGCTGAGGTGGCGGCCCTGCTAATCGATAAGATCCCACCGCATGAAAGCATTGATAGTGGTTATGTTCTAAGGGCTCAAGTGAAGACACTGTCTTTGTCAACTTTGGCTTAGAATATCCTTATATAGTTCAGGTACTTTGTCCGGGTCCACTGGTCTAGGTAAAAAATGTGTAAATTTCTGGTGCCGTTTAGTCCTGGTCCCTTCTCTTGGAGTCCCATCCTTATTTAATGCAACATAGTATCTCCTTCCGGTGTCCACGTGTTTATACAGGTTGGAAGAGTAGGTGTTGTACCAATTCTCTTCAAACTGTTCTCTGAATACACACTCTTGTGTGAGTTTTTCCTGTCAAAAAAATAAGAAAGAAAATAAATACATTGCAAAATGTAGCTGCCTCATTAAAAATCACTATTCTCCATTGTTACACACAAGTTGAATCCCCTTTATCCTAGACACTTTATACCAGAATACTTCTAAACTATCTTTATTTTGGATTTTGAAATATTTGCATATTCATAATGAGATATCTAGGACATAGGACCCATATCTAAACACAAAATTCATTTATGTTAAAATATACCTTCTGTGCATAGCCTGGAGGTAATCTTGCTTCGTATGTTTTCATTATATTCTCATAATACGGAATTTTCCACTTGTGATATCATGTTAGTGATGAAAAAATGTTTAAATGGGGGAACATTTCAGAGTTCAGACTTCCAAATCAAGGATGCTTGAACCATATAAGAATAATCATTTTTTATTTTAAACTTTATTATTAAAAAGTTGAAAGAAAAAAATCACACGTGGAAATTATCAACTCAAAAACTACATGATTCAGTGAACTTCTATACAGTTAGATTTACTGTCAGAACGGAAGTTAACAACTCAAAGACTACATGATTCAGTGAACTTCTATACAGTTAGATTCACTGTCAGAACGCAAGTTAACAACTCAAAGACTACATGATTCAGTGAACTTCTATACAGTTAGATTCACTGTCAGAACGCAAGTTAACAACTCAAAGACTACATGATTCAGTGAACTTCTATACAGTTAGATTTACTGTCAGAACGCAAGTTGTGAGGCTTCGCATTGGATTCTACACTTTCATTATCAAATAAATTGTACATATTTATCCACCACCAAAAATGAAAACCCAGTTTTAGCTACTTCAATACACTTTTCAAAAACTGTTTTAACTCTACCGACTTAATGACATTTGATTTTCTTATCCAAGTTGGCTAAAGCACAAATGATTTTAAACACTTTGGGAAATGGGAGAGAATCATAATACTGAATTTTTAAGACAAGATTGACATTATTCTTTGCAATTCAATGTAGAAATGTCAAGGGCAAAGTCAAGAAAGGGGCAGCAGCTTGATGACCATGAAGGCAATCAGTGTGATGGCAGCACCTAGACACTGTCTAGTGGGTCTCTTCCATGTCAGGCCATTCTCGTTTCCCCACAACATCTGGATAGTGGCCTCCCTGGGAAGGGTTCGCCCAAGTGGAGACTCTAGGAACCACCTCATTGTCAATACATGTTCATAAAGTACTTGCTATGATGTCTGCAGTGTTAACAGTGAGCGACACCTGGGAGCGCCCTGTTGCATGGATTATTCTCTAAAGAGCAGTACATTCCCCTGTCTTCAACCTATGGGTTATGGAAGCCTCTACCCTTTAAAACTCTGATCTCAAAATGTACAAAACAGCTGTTTTTAAAATCCCTGGGAGAGCTAGGCGGTGGTGGGGCATGCCTTCAATCCTAGACTCTGTGGGCATAGGCAAGTGGATCACTGAGTTCAAATCCAGTCTGGTCTATAAAGTACGTTCCATGACAGCCATGGCTACGCAGAGAAACCCTGTCTCAAAAAAAAAAATCAATCAGTGGATCCCCGGGAGAATTTTAAGGCAAACCATTCTTAGCCCACATTTAAGATATCCATTATACCTTGTTACACACAAAGGATTGGCTTGAAGATGTCTTACAGAATCTGTGACTGGTCAAGTCCCTTTGCATAGAAATGGTGTGCTTGTCTGGAACCTACCACATCCTCCCTCAGACTTTAAACTATCTCTAGATAACTAATGATACCTCATACAGAGTGAGTGCAGGGTAAGTAGTTACACAGACTCACTGAAGACACAGCTTCTTAAGCTATGGGATGTGGTCCCCTTGGAATTGTACAACAGAACATGGGGGCCACAAAAGGAATTGGCAACCACAAAGGGTCTCCAAATGTGCAACAACCAAAGCTAATTGAAACTCAAATTGAAAATAAATCTGGGGCGCTGCTGGCAGCACTCTCCCATGCTGCATCACAGGGCTTCACTGCAGCCTTCTCTGAACAACACATCACGCGTGTTCCATACTGCTCATGCTGTCAGCCACACAGAGCCAAGAAGCATGGCCTGAAGCGCCTTGGCTCAGACCTGAGACCGTTAAGTACGGTGAACTGTAATGTTTTCACCACACATAAAGCCTTTTCTTCTCTTGTAAAAACAAAACCATTTAATTATGAGAAACAAAGACTTTTCATATTTTCCACCTTAACATGTAAACTTTCAAATTAGAACATCTTTCAATTGTATTATATTAGACTGTTTGATTTTAAAAATTGTTATTTGAATTTTATAAAACCTGAGTTGCCGACTTGAGTTTTATTAAAAAATAAATTTTGGCTTGAGATTAGAATAGAATTTCCAACCATTTATGAAATGGTCTAAACATACTTCTGACATTTTGTACTATGTATTTATGCAGAGCAGCACTCTCAGCATAAACTATTCAAAAACCAAACTCCTGGTCAACTCCAAAAAGCACTGAAAGTTCTCTGTGTCTGCACAACAAATATTCAGCCAAGATTTCATTCTCTGTGTAAACATAAGTAAGCGCATCCACTCCATTAGCACGTAAACCAGTTTCATCTTTCCATATAGACCAAAGGATTGTTTCAAAATTTCTTCGATGTATTATTACCAAGTGTTTGATTTGTGTATATATTTTATACACCTCTATACCCAGGAGCACAAAGCACTCCCAAGTGGGGAAGTCTAAAACAAGCCCTAGTTCAGGGAATAAAGACAACAGGAGTGTGTGTGAAGGGTTCGCAGTCCACGGTGGTTGGATCTGCAGAAGCACAGCCAGGGAGTCAGGAAGGAAAACCATGATGCTTTCTGTCTTGCCTGGGGCAATAGCTCCAAACAAATCCTCTAGCCCCCTTATTTCATAAGCCATGCTCAGGTGCAGAGATGCCCAGATGAAAGCTAGTCTCAGGTTTACATTCCCACTGCTAGAATATCTCCCTGCCTTCTTAAATACCTTCCCCTTCCTCTCTCCCTGAGTTCTATAATCTCACAGTGTGGAGATCATGCTGTCATGTCAGCCATGACCAGAGATGACACATCCATCATAACCCACAGCTATGAACACACTGTGTGTGTGTGTGTGTGTGTGTGTGTGTGTGTGTGTGTGTGTGTGTGCGTGTGTGCTGAGCTGCTCCTGGCGAAGGGAGGGAAGGGACTTTTCCACATCTGGCTACTGTCACCACACAATTGAAACCTTCAAAATCAATACCTTTCTAGTTACTTGCTTGAGAACTAAGAGTGCTCTTGCATCCTTTCTGCTGGGCGCCTGCTGGTTCCTGTCCAAATGGGAAAGTTCATGAAATCAGGGAAAGTGTTACTGGCTCCAACTGGATGCTACTCCAGATGCAACACTGTCCTGAAGAACATTGAGGATGGCACCTCAGACTCTCCCTATAGCCATACTCCGGTAGCTGCAATTGACTGCTACCCTCACCAAACTGACAAGTGTATAGGAAATCACCAACAGGCTTTCATCAAGGTGTATAACCACAATCACCTCCTACCGCCTCCAAAGTACCGTGTGACTATATCCTTGGACAAAACTGTAATCAAAGGATGTCTTCAGAGACCAGCTCTGAAACACAGGACCAGATGACAGAAGGCCAAGGTCTGAGACCTCACGCACGATGGGCAGGAACAAATGGTTCTTCTAGAAGCTTAGGTTTTAGGTGTATTTTTGTTTCCAACATTACAAAAATAGGAAAAGGTGACTTTAAAAAAATAATTGCTTTGTGCTTGTCCACTTGGCACCTTGGATAAGTGGGAAAGGAAATAAGCCAGGCCCATGGGCGCTGCAGCCACAGATCTAACCAGTGGCGGACCCAAGTTATTTGGAGTGTTGGTTGCACGAGGACCAAACATGTACTTGTCTTTCTTGTCGATGTTTCCCAAACATGTTATGATAGGAGTTTCTACAGTCTTGACAGTGATTTCAGGATTCTGAGTTATGCAAAGATAATGTGCAGGAAGACATGTGTAGCTTTTATGCTGTACTATGGCATTTTACAGAAGAAAAGAGCATGGCAGATCTGGGTATGCTGAGGGGGTCACAGAACTAATCCCTTACAGATACTAAGGGACAACTGTCATCTTCTGCTCCTGTCATTCAGAATGGAGGGCACACAACACACTTTACATAGCACCAAAGCATTGATGCCCTTTTATATTCATATATTAAGCATATGACTTAATACACTAAGTTTAGGAAAAGCCAACTGGATAGATTCATCTTCCCCCTTGTTAGAAAGTCAACATAAGTCATGCTCTGCCTCGTATTTTTATTTTTTTATTTACAGTTCTTGGGGTTCATGTCATGGCCCATGTGTAGAAGTCATTTTCACCTTTCACCATGAAGGTCCCAGAGAGTAAACGGAGGTGCTGAGCCTTGGTAGCAAGTGTCTTTCCCCACTGAGTCCATCTTACTGGCCCCTATCTCTTTCCTAACTCTAACCCTGAAACATAATCTTAACAGCTCTTACTGGCTTCCTCAGAAGTACTCTTTCAAGTGGCCAAAAAGCATCGGCAAGGTTTCTGGTGTTGTTTTGGTTTGGTTATTGGGTTTCGTGATGTTGGAGATCAAATGTTGGGCCTTGTATATACTAGACAAGCGCTCTGCCCCTGAGCCCCCTCAGCTCTAAGGTTTTTAACAAAGAATCACCTCATCGGACAGACTTACTGTGTACGTTGAAATAAGGGAAAGAAAAGGATCAGCCTGATCACACCCGATTCACAGGGACAAAATGGACAGCAGAAAGGGAGCCAGCATCCATCCCCCAGAGTACCACTTACACGTGGGATGCTGCCACTAGTAGCAGCCGAGGAAGCTCAGCCTCACAGTGGTGTGGGGTACACAGCAAAGGGTAATCCTCCACTCCGTCGGCCTGTAAAGCTAAACGGGGCTTCTGGACAAATGCAGTCACTCATGCACTGAGATGACCTGAGCCCAGTGGTTTCCCCTTATCTCTACGAAAGTCCT